ATAAAACTTTTAATTGGGGTAGCTTGCTTACAGTTTCAGAGGTTCGGTCCACTACCATCATGGCAGGGAGTATGGCAGCATGCTCAGTGGTGGCACATGTATGCAATCCCAGCACTTGGGACATGAAGGCAAGAGGACCTGGAGTTTAAGATTATCCTCAGCTACATACTGTTCCATGGGAGAGTGTCTGGGGCCAGCAAGATAGTTCAGCAGGCTAAGGTATCTGTTGCTGAGGCTGCGGAGCTGAGATCACACGATTAAAGGAGAGAAGCTAGTCCTACAAGTTGTCCTTTGTCTTCTGCATGCATACTGTGGCATAGGGGTGCATGCTGTGGCATAGGGGCGCATGCATGTGCTCTTCTGGGTGCATGTGATTGCCTGGGTGCATGTGCGCATGCATGCACACAAATAAATAAAGATAAAGATTAATGTAAAAAATGTTTTCAAATCTAGAAATAACTTAGCCTAAAGCTGGCTTAGGAATAGTGTGGTGATTTGAACAAAAATCATAGACCCATAGGGAGTGATGTTATTATAAGGTGTGGCCTTGCTGGGGTGGATGTGGCCTTGTTGGAATAAGTGTGTCACTGTGTGGGCAGGCTTTGAGGTTTCATATGCTCAAAGTAGGCCTAGTACACAGACTTCTTCTGCTACCTGTGGATCAAGATGTAGAACTCTCAGTTCCTTCTCCAGGAACATGTCTGCCTGCACACTGCCATGACCCACCATCATGATAATGGACTGAACCTCTGAAACTGTGAGTGAGCCCCCTCAATTAAAGATTTTTCCTTATAAGAGCTGCTGTGGCCATGGTGACTTTTCACAGCAATAGAAACCCAAACTAAGACAGATAGTGACCCAGGGCTCATTTTCCCTTCAAGTCATTACTCTGCTATCGTGTGCACAACTCACAGTCCAAATTGGGACGTGAAAGCTCCAATCCTCCCACCAAGATTCCATTCGTTTCAATGAAGGATCCCGATATTGACATGAACACTTATTTAAATCTCACTCTCCAGCCTTGGTCACAATGCCACAACTACCAACAAGGAAAGCTGAGAGATACAGTCTCTTTCTCCTACCCCTTCACGTTTTTTTGAGACAATATTACTATGTAGACCAGCCTGGCCTCAAACTCACCACCTTCCTGCCTCCACCTCCCAAGTGCTAGGATTACAGAAGTGTGCCCCCACCCTCAAAAAAATACATTCTTTATGTGGAATGGTCTTTGCATGGCAGAAAGGAAAAGTTCTGACATTAAGAAAATAGGAGTGGGGCTGGAGAGATGGCTCAGAGGTTAAGAGCACAAACTACTCTTCCAGAGGTCCTGAGTTCAATTCCCAGCAACCACATGGTGGCTCACAACCATCTGTAATGAGGTCTGGTGCCCTCTTCTGGCCTGCAGACATACACACAGACAGAATATTGTACACATAATAAATAAATAAATATTTAAAAAAAAAAAAAAACTCCAGTAGCTCTTTCTGCCATCTCTCCATACCATCACTATGGTACCCATGAGTGTCCTGACCAGTGCTCTCAAGAGCATTAGCAGTACTGAGAGGAGATGCAAACACCAGATCCTTATCAGACCATGCTCCAAAGTCATTGGTTCCTAACGGAGATGATGAAGCACAGCTACACTGGCAAATTTGAGATCACCAATGATAGCTGTGGTAGTTTGAATGTAATTGGCTCCCATAATCTCATAGGGAGTGGCGGAGGTGTGGCTTTGGTGGAGTGGGTGTGGCCTTGTTAGAGAAAATGTTTCACTGTGGGGGCGGGCTTTGAGATTTCCTGTGCCCAGTAAGTAAGTCAACTTCCTGTTGCCTGTAAGATATAGCAGTCTCAGCTTCAGCACCATGTCTGCCTGCATGCTACCATGTTCCCTATCATGATAATAAGAGACTGGACCTCTGAAACTGTAGGGAGCCACACCAATGAAAGGTTTTCTTTATAAGAGTTGTTGTGGTCATGGTGCCTCTTTACAGAAATAGAAAACAAATAGGATGAAAGTTGGTAACTGGAGTGGGGTATCACTGCGACAGACCTGACCACGTGTTTGTTTTTAGGAATCTGGACTTTGGTACTTGTGTTTGGAAAGCAGTGGAACGCTTTAAGCACTGCCTTCTGCATGCTGGGTAAACACGACCAATTGAGCAACATCACCCACCCTCTTTTTAGATTCTGATTGTCTTATTAAGGGGGCTAGCTCCTTAAAAGTCTTTGTTTAACTAGTTATATATTTGTTGTTCAAAAGCAGATATTTGGGCTGATCTATTAGGAGATCACCAAGGCCAGCTGGACTGGGACTGAAAATGCATGTGATAAAAGCGGACTCACTGAATATGGTGGACAATGAGGGCTGCTGAGAAGCCAAGGACAATGGCACTGAGTTTTGACCCTACTGCATGTACTGGCTTTGTGGGAGCCTAGCCGGTTTGGATGCTAATAAAATAAATAAAAATAAAATTAAAAAAAGCAGTTATTTGGGTCATGTTTAATAGTTACCATTCTAATGTTCAGCGATCTGAATGTCCTTTTAGTTATTTTCATTAATTAAAATGAAAATTTTAAAATTCAAAAGATGTTGTTCACAGCGTATGATGCATGATAATAAATGGTTCCCCTGCTGAGAGTTGGGTACTTTAGGAGTGTAACAAAGATAGATTGAGCTGGGTTAGATTGTAAATAAAACATACTTTCTATAGGTTGGATATCTCAGCTTTGAGTTTTATGGTGTTATGTGAACAACTATTGAACATCCAGAGGTATAATTACCTAGGGTATAAGGGATAATTTGGCTGAATTAACCCTAGCACTGCTATTGTTCTGAAGAGAAAATATGAACTCTGATTATATATAAAAATAACAGGTATCGGGGGCTGGAGAGATGGCTCAGTGGTTAAGAGCATTGCCTGCTCTTCCAAAGGTCCTGAGTTCAATTCCCGGCAACCACATGGTGGCTCACAACCATCTGGAATGAGGTCTGGTGCCCTCTTCTGGCCTGCAGACATACAGACAGACTATTGTATACATAATAAATAAATAAATATTTTAAAAAAATAACAGGTATCTAGCTGTAATTATGAAATGTATCGGTTCCTATAATTCCCAGTGTGAAAATATATATTAGAAATCTCCTTGATAATTTTCTTAAATTGAGCAGCATTTACACAGTTAAGCAAGCAAGCACTCAGTTCCCTATGTACTACATTAGTGTTCAAGATGGGTTTGATTGGTATCAAGGCCCAGGAAGGCCAAGGAAACAACTCTAACCCCTCCGGGACAGGAGGTGGAAGTTTGTAGAGCTGTAGGGAAGGAACCACAAGAGCCTGTGGACCAGAGCGAATGCTGGCCTTGCAACTGAATGGTTTCTAATCTAAAGCGCCTTAGTCAAGAAAGTGCCCCAAGCCAGTCCTGCCCTGGTGGTGGTCCCCAACCACAAAGCAACAGAGAACACGAGCAGACCGGGTAGGCAGCTGTAAGATCCTAGCTCAAGTTGTAATAACTGCAGTGTGTAACCGTGGCAAAAGGGATGCTTGGCCACACTTATCGTCTCTAAGATACAAACCACACTTAGTTTCTAGGATTAGCTGAGAAAGGGCAGAGGTACTTCAGACCTCAACAGCTCCTAAACAGTGGTGGTCTGCACTCTAGGACAGGACAGTGGCAAAGAGAAAAGGGCAGTAGAGAAGACAGTAGAGACTTTGCAAATATGTGAGTATACTGTTCCCCAATTTATTTTTATAGTGTTTTTTCTGTTATTTCTAGAAATATCAATGTTTTAAACCTCTTCTTATAAATTCAATAATTAGTAAAATTCTATTGTAGAAGTTAACTCTAAGTGGCTGAAAATACTGTTCATTACATACTTATCAAATGACTGAAGAATATATATTTAAATTTAGTGACTTCATTAGTCAATGCCTTGTTAATTCTGCTGTAAAGAAAAAAAAATAAAGAGTTGCTATGGTCATGGAGTCTCTTCACTACAATAAAAACTAACAAAGACAATAATCGAACCGGGGAAATCTTTGTGAACCTCATGGGCGGGTCAAACAAGCATAACAAGATCAGCCCTAGATTGGATGTGCAGCTGAAAGACCTAGGAAAATGGCAGAATGATCTGCTCCCACCCTGTTTGGTTTCATTGTACTGACATCCTCAGCTGGTTTGATGAACCATGAAGAAGCAAGATAAAAACATGAGCAGGAAAACTCCTGGAGTTCCTTTTCTGGGGATGCAAAATACATGGATAAATAAAATGCCTCAGAGGAAGGAAGGAAGGAAGGAAGGAAGGAAGGAAGGAAGGAAGGAAGGAAGGAAGGAAGGAAGGAAGGAGAGATAGAGGGAGGGAGGGAGGGAGGGAGGGAGGGAGGGAGGGAG